ATGCCACTCCATGTCCGATGTCTAAGGTCATCTGGTGAGGCATTAATTTCTTTCCAGTCTGTATGAAAGGTGTCATGGTCTTCTCCACAGCCTTCACCTCAGATGCAGACCATGGCTTTCTTACACGTTCTAGGGAGAGAAATAAAAATATATTAGCAATATACACTCCCAGGGTTAGGACCAAGCAGCCTGGCTGTAATCCCCCACCTGGTACACTTACCAGAAGGGGCACTGCCACTACCATGGGGTGCATCTGGATGAATGGTTGAAGGTTCTCCGCTTGAAGTTTCTTTTAGCCCGTCCGTTTGTGAGAGGATCTCTACTGCTCTCCCTGTCGCACAGAAAATAAAAATACAAGTGGCCTTTAGGGGAAAAAAATCATACATATTTTAATAATATCAAGAATTACCTTCAGGCTCAATTTGTATCTGGTCGAGGCTCTTTCCTTCGAATTCCGTCACTCTTCCCTGCTCCATGGCCATCAACACTTTGCTGATTTTGGCCAGCTCCAGTGTCCCCTCTGGTAGTCTGTAATATTGCCTGTGGATGCGAATGTCATGGCCGAGGAAGTTGGCAAGTATGTCCATCTCATTCTCTTTCATATTGAGAACTGTAGACATAGTAGCTATGTGCTTTCTAAGTTTGGTTGAGGATAGCATCTCTGGATGCACCGCACCACATTCTTTGGCTACCTGCCGTAGGGAGTCTGATCCCCTGATGTGGGTGTCTGCGCCCGGGCGGGAAAAGAAGTATGGGTTATGGTCAGAGATGGAACAGGCCCTTCTGTTCTCCACCAGCACCTCCATCGAAGCAATCATTTCAGGAGTCAAAAGAACCGGCACTTTCCGACTTCTTTTCCCTTTAATTTCAATGCGTTGAAAATGCTGACACAGCTTTTTCTCAAGTTGGGACAGTCCCAGAGCAATGTCAGAATGGATCCCAGTCTTACTTCTTAAGGTAAAGGCTGTCAGTGGCATCTTTGAAACCTCACCTTCCCTTCTTCGATTGAAAATGATGACCTCACAAAGAGTCAAAACTGCCAGTTTAGACCAATGCTTAGACGTTGGCTCACTTATTAGGGTTTGCACATATTCAGGTCGACATACCTCAATATGTGCATGCATGGCTCTAACGTCCTCAGTCAGAGGGAGCAGGTCCGGAGTGTTCCACTTGGCTTGCCGGAGGGTCTGTAGGGCAGCAGAAGAAACACAGACGTCCCACCTCTTCTCAAAAAGCAGCCGGCTTCGTTGGAGGTTTTTAATAAATAGTTCATCAACACAATGCTCCATTTTTGAGTCACATTCAAGAATATCTGCTAGCTTTCTGAGGCTATGGCCGAGTTTGAGGGCCAAGGATGGAGTCTTGTATTGATTTGTTTCCTCATCATATCCAGCCACAGACCTGACTGCATCAATCACATGGTTAAAGTTGGAAGGAATAAAGAAATCCTTAATTGTTTTCAGTTTCCCTGCGGTTTTTGCTTCGTTAATTAACCTACCGACTTCTCTCATTTTCTGCCTAATGTAATCATGCTTAGTCTTATCATGCCCGTGTTTTAAGTACAGGTGCTCTTCGAGTCTCAGAATCCCCTTTTCTGCTTTGACAACACCCGTGACCTCATCCTGATGGATTGCCGAAATTAAAGACCACAGCTTTTTGCTGATGCCCTCCGGTACAGGCTGGGCTAGGGAGCAGAGGGACTGGACCCTACTTCTACCTGGTTTAGCCTGGGCATCTTTCTGTGAAAGCCGGCACCTGGCCACATGCCTCCACAGCGACTTTCGCTTAAGCAATGCCCCACAGTCTATACAGTGCAAAAACTCACTGGATTTAACTGGGGAATTTGGCTGTTTAGCTGGGACTAAAGTTCCAATGCCGGCCTTTAAAACCTCAAAATTGTGCTCACGGTTTCCACTATTCCTGATCAAATCAAACTGAAGTTTACGTGCTTTAGACTTCACAGGTAGAGCCAATGCTCTGGCTACGTCACTTTCATTTCCATGTTTTCTAGTCAAATGACGGGACATTTTGTGGCAGGACATTGAACAGTAGAGGCAGAAGTGTCTCTTGCTGTAAACCCTGCCCCCATTTTTCTTCTTTTGCAGCTGCATGATAACAATCTTATTTGCCTTTGGTTCGTCACTTTCCGAGTCTTGAAGAAAAGTGTTTTTGATTTTTCTTTTTCCATACTTTTTTACAGGTTTCTTCTTGACAGTTAAATCGTCAGAATCTGAGTCGACTTCATCAATTAGGGACTCTTGACTAAGCTGCACAAACAACAAATAATTTGTAATAATTCTATATAACAATTTGAAGTCATGACTTGTAGTCAGCACTTACCAGTGGGTTGTAAGCGTGCGCTTCAGTGTGCTCCTCCATGATTTCTTGCAGCCTAATGAACCACACACTTGCACCTTTTCACCTGACTTCCTCTGTTGTGCTGCTCCATGATTGGCTCCAGCCTGCTGGACTGAAATTGCCCCAGTGTGCCCCTCCCTGATATCCCGCAACCCACCACCAGGGTTCCGACACATAACACACTTTTTTCAGGAAAGTAAACCTCCAGGGGTCCTTTCCATATTTTTACAGAGACTGCATAAGGACCGTTAGAAAAGCATTACCCATTGATTATTAAGCTTGGACCAGTGGGGTCCGGTGTTCGGGCCCCACCACGTAAAACCAGTCCCCATGACATGAGTGGAATCTCAGGTTATGGAACCCACTAGGAGTTGAAAACAAGTGCACACACACACACACACACACACACACGCACACACACACAGTACATGTACGCACACAAACACACACATAGAAAACAATATATTATTTAAATTATTTTGACCTCAAGGACTGAATACTGCACACACTGCTTTATGCACCATATTCAAACAGCTTATTTATGTATTGTGTGTGTTGTGTCCCACACAATACATAAGTTTGTTCCTAATGTATGTGTATATAATAAAACACGCACATACCAAACAACCCACAACACAAATAATGATACTAATAATTGCTCTATAGGTATGCAATAAGAAGCCTTTCCTACTTTTGGTCCAGTCCAAGCAGCAGAGTTCACTTTTCAATAAACAGTCAATAGGAGCCAGAGCAAGTTAGAGCCAAACTTCACCTTGAGCACTTCTCTATTGGGCTTCATTGGGAGCTAGCGGGTTAGCCTTGTTCATCTATATACCGTCCATGGCTGTCAAATATAGGAATACTGTTACATTTGGAGTATGTTAGTGGGTTAGGAGTGTGGGATGGTCTCTAAGGACAGTGGTGATAGTGTCCAGGACACTCAACATTCAACAACATTTTTGAACCTCTATCAACATTTATGGACATTGATCATCCGTCCCTTATGGACCAATGGCTTTATGTGTTTCTAATCATTGCATTTCTTGAGTTTGAACTGTTTGATTCTCTGATCTGCTTTGGCAAATCTGATGGTTTAAAGTCCCCGAATAACTGCTGCTGTTGATTTAGGGGTATACAATATTATTTAGAATGGAATTGAATTACATTTCTGTGAGTGTGTTTTGACGTCACCTATGCACCGGCTCTTTCATCTGCCCGAGCTCATGGCGACTTCATCATATCCCCATACTTTACAATGTGATTTCTTCCCGAGTCCCCACGCGGTATTGGACGTAATCCATCCATCAACGGTCGACCAAAGAGGAAGACAGTGCAGCCGAGCGCTAAACGGGGAGCGCTCTGATAACAACACCTTCGGATCCTATCTCACACTGTAAAGCCGGTCTTTGAAGCCTCTCTGCTGGATGGAGCCTGACCACAGATGACCAGAGGTGCAGTTGGAAGCACACGGCTGCATGGAGCTGCTTGACCCGGCTGCGGATGGAATGAGAATTGGGATAACATCGGCCTGTGCCGCGGAGACTGACTGCAGACATAATGCATAGACAGGATTTCACCTGCGTTCAGCGTTTTAAAACAGAACCATGGTGAGAAACTGCCCAAAACTCACTAATTATAATGCAGTGTGTGTGCTGTTTAGCCCTGTCTTTCTTACGTCAAACCAATTATTCTGTTCACTGCAAAAATGATGAGGTGATAAATGCTTGAATCAAGTGGTTTGTATATTCATTTGAGAACATTCTGTGTACCTTAAAACAAGATTTGCCAATGCGACAAAACCAGTCTTAATTCAATCTACATATTTTTTTCTCATTCCAATCTTTTTCAAAACCAGAACATTTGGCAAATGTTGTTTTAGGGCATAAATTAATGTATATCTTGCCAAATTTGAGCAACTTTTTTCATCCCTTCTTGCAGTGTTTGGTATGGAATGTTACTAATATATTCTACATACTTGAAGATAAGTAAGTGACATCACCATCCTTCTCTTACAGGTCATGTTTGCGGAGTAGAGAGCCAGATAAGCATCTGTGACTAAAGCCCAGTTCAGACCTCCACTGTGAGGCCTTAATTGGTTCTTCTATATCAAACAAATGTACAGTGGCGATGTCATTACCTGCTAAAAAAGAACCAAATATCTTAACCTCATGAGAAGACAAGAACAACCTTCCTAAACTATTAGTAGAGAGAGTGTGTTTGCTGAAGAAGATAGATATGACTCTGTCCCTTGCTTCACGGGGGGAAACATACATTATATTTTCATGCTGCTTATGCTAACGGAAAGTCCCATCACCGGTTTGGACCGAGGGGGAAGATTTGCACAATGGGAGCCACCGGATTGATAGCGACGTGTTTATTTTGCTGCTCGCTGCGGAATCAGGAGCGGTGATTTTCCACGCCGGTAAGCAGTGGCCTCCCAAATGATCCCCCTTTTGTGGCTGTCAGCAAATGCATAATCTTCAGACAGAGGCCGGCTGTCTTGGCATGCAAATCAAACGCACCTGGATGGATTTCATTATCAGGCGGGGCATGTGTGTGTGTGTGAGTGTGTGTGTGAGTGTGCGTGCTCTCATTGAAGATTACAGATATGCTGCGGGATCAGAGCCGACTTTTGAACAGGGATGAACGCGGGGAAAGGGTCAGGATTTTCAGAAGCAGGTTTTTATAGGAGTGAAGTCTTTTTGTGGGAGATGTCCCGTTTTGAACCGGGGCGTGTTGTGCAGCGGTCACAGTTTACAAACAAATATTGTGTTCACGTCACTGCTCTTGGGCTCTTATGTCTAGACCAAGTAATATTTACCTTGGAATGTTAGAATATATAATATTTTTCAAGTTTTACAGACATTGTGATAGTGGGTAGATTTGTAGAGAGAGAAACAGACCTGAGAGAAAGCTCAGAGAGAAAGAGAACGCTAAGTCCTCTGAGATGACTACTGTTGTGATTTAGGGCTATACAAGAATAAATTGTATTGTACTGTAATGTATTATAAAGAGACAATAGAGAGACCAGAGTGAGACTAGATAGAGGGACCAGAAAGACTATATAGAGAGACCAGAGTGAGACTAGAACAAGAGAGCAGAGAGAGACTAGATATAAAGACCAGAGAGAGACTAGAAAGAGAGACCAGTGAGAGAGCAAAGAGAGACCAGAGAGATCCATTGCATCATCCATACAAAGCCCCATATTGATTCCCCCTGGTGCCGGGCTGCGGACCACTGCTTTGGATTAATACTTTTGTCACCACTGACTAGTTGTAAGGTTTTCTGATTCTTTTGCCATCCCTGAATAGTTTAACAAAGTTAAACACTTGTAGACTTTAAATACACAGCTCTTTTCATAACATGTTTTTTCTGCTCTTGAGTGAGATTTCCAATGGTTTTGTGACACAATAATATCCAATTCTGAGAACAATAACGCGGACCAAAGCACAATATTATGCTCGTGTGAGTGCTATACTGTGTGGATGACTTATGCATAATTCATAAACACTGCCACTCCATCTCCAGATCAGATTAGATCTTACCGACAGCAATTGTAATGTTGATTTATTCACAATAACGAAAGCAATTTACAAGATGCAAAAGATCCTGGGTTTATATTTCGTCTCTCATTATTGAATAAAAAAGCAGTTCTAGCAGGACTCTGTCTTTAAAGGGACATGTTACATATTGTCATAAATACGTCTCCAACATTGCATCATCAGAAACAGAACCGGATCATCAGACACTGAACAAGACCCCGACCCTCCCGACTAAATGCTCTGTTTTTAAAACTGTTCAGATTCAGATGTAATTTGTTATAAACGCTGATTATAACTTCTTACTTCTGCATCCAGATGTTTGAGTGCTTTGCTCATCCTGGTCAACTTTAATTCAAATCAATATATTTGTGTATCTCCCTTAATCATTCTTAGAAGATTTTACAAATGTGTGGATTCACCAACAACAGATCACAGAATCAAACAGTTAAAAACAGCAATTGTAATAAAATAGCTAACACATTTGGTCCATTTGGAGCCTTTGGTCCACATGGAGCGGGTTGACCACTGTACAGAATGTTTGATACATTTGCAGAAATGTCCCGGATCATTGCTGCCGTTATGGGGCATTCACACCGGATCATCCATTGCTTTTGTTGGTCCAGTGCGGCAGATGTGTTTTTGCGGCGTAGCAAAAGTCCACATATATTGTAAAGCGCTTTGTGACTCTGGTTTGTGAAAGGTGCTATGAAATAAAGATTGCTTACTTGCTTTCTTGAAAACAACCAGAAAAGAGCTAAACCAATGGGGGACGCCCAGAGTTGACATTCAATAATCTTTGGGTATAAATTCTGTGAGAAAGCACCTTTTGACTCTCGGAAAGCGCAGAAAGTCAGTGGGAGAAATGTGAGAAACCTCATTGAGGCCCAGAAACACACTGTATAAATACTTCCCATGTCCCACGCTTCACTTTTATATTTGTTACTTTGTGTGAACTGTAGGTAAAACAATCAAAAAATTAAATATTTGCAATTGAAATTACCTTTTTAACCTTCTGCGTTTTCCATGACTGTGAAGCGCGGCACAAACAAGCAAGAGTCTCTTCGATGTTTCGGCTAAACTCATTTTAATTGTTTGACTTTTGGGGAAATCAAACATTGTGTTGATGTGATGGATGCCAAGGACAGAGTATGACACACACTAATGGTCCCCCTGATGCCAGCTAGATGTGAGAGGCTCAGTTGTGTGTGATCGTCATCTGCATTACTCAGTCTCTGCTCCTGTGGCCTGCTCGGCTCCAGATTACTTGTAAACAATTGCTCAGTTGTGGACGAGGAAAGGTTAATGAGCTAATTAAAGACAAAGCTGCAGTCTGCGTTCTGTGGAGCACATCTGCCCCGTGTGAAGGCAGCGCTTCACTCATCACTGACGGAGGTTACAAATCTGAGTCTGTGGGACAAAGGCTTTCACTGTCATCATTTACAGAAGGTGTGGACTTGGGCTCGCCATCAAATACAACAGCACACAGACAATATGAATATAAGTCTAAGTTTTCACTCTTCAATAAAGTCGTGACATTGTTCAACACAAGTGGGCTCCTGGCGCTGAGAGGCTTGGGGGCTGTTGTAGAGAACATATCTATTATTCATTTATTTATTCATTTTTTTATTTTGGGTGTTAAAAGGAGGTACAAAGCATATTAATGAACATTTAACAAATATAAATATGCCAGACTTTAGCCTCAGGCTAATTTCCATCGACCCTCACAAGAAGTTTGTCCAAGAATGCAAACAAAGCAGAGAAAGTCCCCATCCTTGTGAAAAGTACATGGTGTGCTTCAATCTGGATAATATCCTCAAGTATAATTATCCACATGACAATATCATATGCAGCATTTGTTCTGGGCCAATACAGGCATAGCTAGGAACATTACTTAAGTGTGAGATCTAATCTTGCATTTTCTTCTATTCCCTCATTTGAAAGGTGAGACGATAATGCCTGCACATTTCTTTTTTTCCATTCACTCCATACACAGTGGTAGCCACAGCTGCCCTGAGGTAGACTGACGGAACCAAGGCGGCCAATCTGTTCCACGCTCACACCAGACTCATCATGTGGGTTTGTTATTATTTGTCTTTGAGGACACAGGGTCCACACATAAAAAGACATCATTATTGGCCACAAAAGTGCAGTGGGTTTTTATAGTGGTTCCTTGTTGATGCAGGAGGCTGAGGACAGTAGTGATTGTCCAGAACATTCCACATTCAACAACATTTTTGGACATGGGTCATCTTTCCTTTATGGACCATTGGCTCTATTTCTTTTTTTACCATTGCGTTCCCTGTGTTGGAAGAGTTTGATTCTATGGTCTGTGTTGGAGAAGTGACAGTTTTGTAAAGCTAAGTTCTTCGAGATAATTCCTGTTAGCCTGTAATTTAGGGCTATACAAAAATAGATAGTAATTAAATTGACCATGATGACTATAATCCACTTTTCCTAGTCCATGTAACCCTGCGGCTCATATATCGATACGGGTAATATGTGTATTTTTATTATGATAGAGTTGTCAGAGCAGTGAGTGAGCAATTACTGATGTATTTTTTTGACTCCATAGATGTTTTTAGCAATAGGACACTCGTTTATTGTAAAATACAGACAGTGAATGAGTCTTCCTCAGCACATGTCTATACTTCTGCCGAGGACTAAACACTAAACTTATTCAAAATCGAGTGCACTAGAGGCCGATAAATATCATCAAACTCTCCGCCTGCCGGCTCCACCTGTACGTCCTCGTCCTGCAGTAACCGATATCCATCAAGACAACAACTCAATAAACCTCATTCTACTACATCCTTTTCTCTGAATCCATCCAGTTACAGTGAGAGATGAGAGGAGCTCCTCTTCTGACCGCTACACCTCCTCTGTCCGCTACACCTCCTCTGACCGATACACCTCCTCTGACCGATACACCTCCTCTGACCGATACACCTCCTCTGACCACTATACCTCCTCTGACCACTACACCTCCTCTGACCACTATACCTCCTCTGACCACTATACCTCCTCTGACCACTACACCTCCGCTACACCTCCTCTGACCGATACACCTCCTCTGACCGATACACCTCCTCTGACCACTACACCTCCTCTGACGGATACACCTCCTCTGACGGATACACCTCCTCTGACGGATACACCTCCTCTGACCGATACACCTCCTCTGACCACTACACCTCCTCTGACCGATACACCTCCTCTGACCGATACACCTCCTCTGACCACTACACCTCCTCTACACCTCCTCTGACCACTACACCTCCTCTGACGGATACACCTCCTCTGACCGATACACCTCTTCTGACCACTACACCTCCTCTACACCTCCTCTGACCACTACACCTCCTCTGACCGATACACCTCCTCTGACCACTACACATCCTCTGACCGATACACCTCCACTGACCACTACACCTCCTCTGACCACTACACCTCCTCTGACGGATACACCTCCTCTGACGGATACACCTCCTCTGACCGATACTCCTCCTCTGACCACTACACCTCCTCTACACCTCTTCTGACCGCAACACTTCTTCTGACCACTACAAATCTTCTGACCACTACACCTCCTCTGACCACTACACTTCCTCTGACCACTACACCTCCTCTACACCTCCTCTGACCACTACACCTCTTCTGACCACTACACCTCCTCTACACCTCCTCTGACCACTACACCTCTTATGACCACTACACTTTCTCTGACCACTACACCTCCTCTACACCTCTTCTGACCACTACACCTCCTCTACACCTCCTCTGACCACTACACCTCTTCTGACCACTACACCTCCTCTACACCTCTTCTGACCGCTACACCTCTTCTGACCACTACACCTCTTCTGACCACTACACCTCCTCTGACCAGTACACCTCCTCTACACCTCTTCTGACCACTACACCTCCTCTGACCAGTACACCTCCACTACACCTCCTCTGACCACTACACCTCTTCTGACCACTACACCTCTTCTGACCGCTCCATCACTCACAACAGCTGAAAACAATGGTCACGTCTCACATCGTTCTACTCTTGTTCTTTGTTCCTCCATTTTTCAGGAAGGAGTGTGTGATAAAGTTCTTCCAACAGAGAAGATGCAGTGATGAGAAAGAGAAAGAGGAGAAGGAAGAAGAGTGATGTATCACTACCAGTGATACATCAGCTTTTCTTGTTACTTGTTACTTCTTTTAAAAAGCAACCTGTTACTTTACTTACTTTCTATAGAGAGTAACTACATTACTTTACTTGTTTCTACTTATACGTTAATATGCTCGACTTTGAGCAGAAGTGTTTCTAAATTTGTTGAAATTCTATTGTGAAGATCAACAAATATTTCTTTCATGCTCTTTATGATGAAAAACACCACAGGGCGATGGGGTTGTTGTCATGAACACAGCTCTCACTCTCGCTTTAGGACCTGCTCTTACTCATAATGAAGAGTAGAATAAACAAAGAGAAGTGGCCGCTCACAGCAGCACCAGTGAGGCTGACTTTTCATTTAATTGATAAGGAAGAAGACGTGACGTCCTTTAGCGCAGACGCTGAGGCACTCGTAAATGAAAGCAGGCTCAGAGTTGAAAGTGCGACACTCTGCGATGAGCAGCGCCACCACAAGCAGCCACAGCCTCTTGCTTCATACACAATATGTCACATACCATGTGTCACATACACAATATGTCACATACCATGTGTCACATACACAATATGTCACATACCATGTGTCACATACACAATATGTCACATACCATGTGTCACATACACAATATGTCACATACCATGTGTCACATACCATGTGTCACATACCATGTGTCTCATACCATGTGTCTCATACCATGATTACTGGTATGAGAATCAATTGTGACTGATGCAATGACACCTGCAGATGTTCACAGCTGCCCATGTTGAATAAAAAGTGACATTCTGGCGGATCGAAAAAGAAAGGGCTTTACTTTACCAAATTTACCCTAGATTTAAATAGTCAAAACTCATGTCACCCTTCCACCTCTTGATGCCGCTTGAACAAACAACAAAATGCAATAAATATGAACAAACATAAAGTTAGGTTACCCAGCTTCAATTTTGCGAGTTTTACATGAACTCGTGTTTCCACCGTAGAAATGAGTCAAGTCTGAGTCTTGAGGGACGAGTCCGAGTCGAGCACTTAACGCAGCCTCTGCCTGTGTTTACTCATTGAAATTCCAGTGCGAGCTCCGAGATGGATTTGGCAATGCGCATGAGGGCGTCGTAAATCTGTGCTAATATAAGCGGAAAAGTAGGTTGAAGACCATTAGCCTAATTGTGAGCGCAAGGAAGCTTTATGGACGTTTCGGGGAATCAGGGCTGGAAATAAGTTGTCAGCGCGAGGCTGTGTGTGTGCACTCAGCATCATTCTGAGAGCGGTTCTCCGGATCGAGTCATCTGTCACAGAGCAGCAGCCGGAGCAGACTCTACAACTCACTCTCACCTCACCACACAGAGCAGACTCTACAGCTCACCTCTCCACACAGAGCAGACTCTACAGCTCACCTCACCACACAGAGCAGACTCTACAGCTCACCTCACCACACAGAGCAGACTCTACAGCTCACCTCACCACACAGAGCAGACTCTACAGCTCACCTCGCCACAAAGAGCAGACTCTACAGCTCACCTCACCACACAGAGCAGACTCTAGAGCTCACCTCACCACACAGAGCAGACTCTACAGCTCACCTCACCACACAGAGCAGACTCTAGAGCTCACCTCACTACACAGAGCAGACTCTACAGCTCACCTCACCACACAGAGCAGACTCTACAGCTCACCTCACCACACAGAGCAGACTCTAGAGCTCACCTCACCACACAGAGCAGACTCTACAGCTCACCTCGCCACACAGAGCAGACTCTACAGCTCACCTCACCACACAGAGCAGACTCTACAGCTCACCTCACTACACTATAGAGGCTTCTTCTGGGCGACATGGTAGTTGCAGTGGTTTCACAAGAGGGTCCTAGGTTCTACTCTACCTCCAGGTCTTTCTGAAGGGAGTCAGGATATTGTCCCCTGAATGTAATGAGAGTGAAAGGATTGTGAAGGTCATGGGCTTCGCAGCTTTAGAGTGTTTGGTGTTGTGCTTCTGCCATGACTGTGGGGAGAGTTAGGTAAATTCTTACATACCAAAATTGTAAAGTTTTTTTGTTATGACCTTTGTCTGTGAAATGCACTGTGTAAGTAAGTAAGTAAGCTTTTATTTATATACCGCCTTTCACAGACCAGAGTCACAAAGCGGTTTACAATTGATATTTTTTGGGCACTTGTCCTCTCACTCCACACAGAGATGGGAGCGGGGTCGCCGAACAGGAGGCGCATGCCAGACCTATTGTACATATTTTTAGTGGTAGGGGAAACCGGAGTACCCGGAGGAAACCTACGCAGACACGGGGAGAACATGCAAACTCCACTCAGAAAGGCCCTGGTCCGGCCGGGATTCGAACCCAGGACCTTCTTGCTGAGAGGCGAGAGTGCTATCCACTCAGCCACCGTGCCGCACGTTGCCGTGTACTTAAAAATGACTTACCGTGAACAGCTCTGTTTCGCTGCAACAACTGAAGGAATGTATCTTCACTCATTTTAATGTACTGTGATCATTTAATAAGCAAAAAGAGAAACCGAGGCAATTTGAATTGCTTTGGACCAAATTAACTACACTGAACAGTAAGAGAGGGATAGTGAGAGAGGACTGAGGCTGTAGATCCAGGGCTGAGGCTTTAGACCCAGGACTGAGACTGTAGATCCAGGACTGAAGCTTTAGATCCAGGACTGAGGCTGTAGATCCAGGACTGAAGCTTTAGATCCAGGACTGAGGCTGTAGATCCAGGACTGAAGCTTTAGATCCAGGACTGAGGCTGTAGATCCAGGACTGAGGCTGTAGATCCAGGACTGAGGCTGTAGATCCAGGGCTGAGGCTTTAGACCCAGGACTGAGACTGCAGATCCAGGACTGAGGCTGTAGATCCAGGACTGAGGCTGTAGATCCAGGACTGATCAATCATCAATCAAAGTTTATTTGTAGAGCGCCTTTCATACACATGGCAACACAAAGCGCTTCACAGTCCACATCACAAATCATCACATAAAACAAACACCAGAATCACAATTAAAACATTAAAATCACACAAAAGATTAAAACACAATTAAAACATTAAAATCACACAAAAGAATAAAACCATTAAAACTTTCAAAATTACACAAGAAATTTAAAAAAATAAATAAATGACAGCAGTGCATTAAAAATGGAGATAAAATCCTTCAGTTGTATGCACAGGCAAACAGAACAGTCTTTAACCTGGATTTGAACATTGACAGAGTAGACGCCTCCCTCACATTTTCAGGGAGATTGTTCCAGATCTTAGCCGCATGGATCTGAAACGCAGCCTCCCCATGTTTGGTTCTCACTCTGGGCACCAACAGGAGGCCAGTCCCTGTGCTCCTCAGAGTCCGGGCCGGTTCATATGACACCAACATGTCACTAATGTATTCTGGTGCAAGGCCATGGAGAGACTTGTACACAAGCAGAGCCGTTTTAAAATCTATTCTTTGAGCCACAGGAAGCCAGTGCAGAGACCTGAGGACCGGACTAATATGGTCATACTTCCTGGTTCCTGTCAGGACTCTAGCTGCTGCATTTTGGATGTACTGCAGCTGCTTACAGGTCTGTTTGGACAGACCTGTAAGCAGGCCATTGCAGTAGTCTAGCCTGCTGGAGACAAATGCATGGACAAGAATCTCCAAGTCTGCCCTGGACACTATATTTCTAACTTTGGCAATGTTCTTCAGATGGTAAAAAGCTGTTGATGTTATTGATTTTATGTGGCTATTGAAATTTAGGTCTGAGTCCAGTATTACCCCCAAATTTCTGACCTTGTCTGAAGGAAGTAGGGAGAGAGACTGAAGTTGACAAATGACGCCCTCTCTTTGTTTCTGGGGACCAAAGACAATGATTTCGGTTTTGTCTGTATTTAGCTGGAGGAAATTATTTTGCATCCAGTCACTGATCTGTTGGATACAGTGAAGGAGCAAATCCAGTGGTCCATGTTCTCCTGCAGTCAGTGAGACATAGATCTGAGTGTCGTCAGCGTAATTGTGGTAGGACACTTTGTTTCTTTGTATTAACTGACCTAACGGCAGCATGTAGAGATTAAATAGGAGAGGTCCCAGGATCGACCCCTGTGGTACACCACAGGTCAGGGCCACATCATCTGAGACGCAGTCTCCAATCTCCACAGAGTACTTCCTATCCTCCAGGTAAGACTGAGGCTGTAGATCCAGGACTGAGGCTGTAGATGCAGGACTGAGGCTGTAGATCCAGGACTGAGGCTGTAGATCCAGGACTGAGGCTGTAGATCCAGGACTGAGGCTGTAGATCCAGGACTGAGGCTGTAGATCCAGGACTGAGGCTGTAGATCCAGGACTGAGGCTGTAGATCCAGGGCTGAGGCTGTAGATCCAGGACTGAGGTCAAGTCTGGAATAGCCCTCGTCTTTATTCCCATTTTAAATCATGAAATGTCAAAGTAAACATTCTCATCACCTGTCCAGGGCGAGAATGGTCTTGAGATCAAAGCAGTGGTTGATCTGTGAATGTTGTCAGTGTGTATTCGGAGCTGACGGTCCGGACGTGGTGCAGTCCATGATCTCAAACGGACTGAACAAAGAGAGGAGGAGGCTGTGGTGAGGCTAAGCTACAGCGCAGAGGACAACAACGGAACACAAACAACATTGTTTTATGACCGGAGGAAAGTCGGCGCCTGATCTGCTGCATAAAGCTGGGGTACCTAAATTTCAAGCCGCAAAATATCCATGTCAATAATTTTAGAATAATGATAATAATCACTTTTCTCATGCTTCTATTTTTGGCCTCACATTTGTCAAATATTTATAACTGTTTTTTTCTTCTCCCTCTCTCTCTCTTTGGTCTTGCTGGTCTCTCTGATCACTCTCTGGTCTCTCTCTCTGGTCTCTCTTTGCTCTCTTTCTCTGGTCTCTCTTTGTTCTCTCTCTCTGGTCTCTCTTTGCTCTCTTTCTCTGGTCTCTCTTTGCTCTCTTTCTCTGGTCTCTCTTTGCTCTTTCTCTCTGGTCTCTCTTTGCTCTCTTTCTCTGGTCTCTCTTTGCTCTCTCTCTCTGGTCTCTCTTAGCTCTCTCTCTCTGGTCTCTCTTAGCTCTCTCTCTCTGGTCTCTCTTTGCTCTCTCTCTCTGGTCTCTCTTTGCTCTATTTCTCTGGTCTCTCTTTGCTCTCTCTCTCTGGTCTCTCTTTGCTCTCTCTCTCTGGTCTCTCTTTGCTCTCTCTCTCTGGTCTCTCTTTGCTCTCTCTCTCTGGTCTCTCTTTGCTCTCTCTCTCTGGTCTCTCTTTGTTCTCTCTCTCTGGTCTCTCTTTCCTCTCTCTCTCTGGTCTGTCTTTGCTCTCTCTCTCTGGTCTCTCTTTGCTCTCTCTCTCTGGTCTCTCTTTGCTCTCTCTCTCTGGTTTCTCTTTGCTCTCTCTCTCTGGTCGCTCAAATCTTGTACTCTTGGCCTCACATCTTTAGATACGCTTTTCCAGACGGAAAAAAGTGAAAGAACTCAATTAGTGACTCACAAGGCACTTTCAAACAGCATGTTGTGGTCTGATTTAGGTTTCCCAGCTGCAACCATAACGTTGGATTGCATCAGATTATTGCGTGTGACTGAGATCTGAGGAGAAATGACCACAAAAGCTACATTTCTATTTCAAGCGTGTCTGAAACGTTTAAAAAAGCTGAACATTTTGCAAAATTCTATGGATTGGCCACCTAATCAATTATCACAATAATCATTAATCACAGCCCTGTTAAAATATATATAGAAAACAGGGGTCTCCAACCTGTGGCCCGGGAGCTACCAGTAGTTCACCACCCCTTTCAGGTAGCTCCCCAAAGGATTTAGACATTAACAAATCAAATAATGTGCCTGCTGTATATTTCAGAGTATATTGTTGACTTCCATCCATCCATCCATTTTCTACCCTTTAATCCATTTCTGGGTCAGGGGGGTGGCAGTCAGAGATGCCACCCAAGTCTCATAGCACCAGCCCCTCACTGACCCTCTGCAGGTGGTGAGTCCACAGGAGGACGGCTGCTCTGAGTGTGAGCGTAGCCTTGATCTTTCAGTGGGGACTTTTGGGCAAAGTGGGGTTAAGTGTCTTGCCCAAGGACACAACGACAGCAGTCATCAGTGGGAGTCGGTGGAGAAGGTGCAGAGGTGGGAATTGAACCCACGACCTTCTGGCCTTAAGGCCAATGCTCTACCAAATGAGCTACTGTCGCCATATTGTTGACTTGCTCACAGATATTTTTAATGTAAACTTACTTTGTGCAGAAGTAACAAAAAGGTCATGATGAAATATTGACTTGATAGTGACAGTACCAAATCTCAGGTTTGCTCTCACAAATATATCAACTCATTTTTCAAAGTAGCTCTATTCAATTTTTTTGGGAAGACTGCCGCTCTCCAGGGGGAACAGGTTGGAGACCCCAAGATTAGAAAAATCTGAATTCAACTGATTAGAAGCCTGGTTCCGTGTGTATTTCTCTGCATTGTGGGTCAAACACAAATAAAGACATTTCCCTGAAGAGGCCCCTGTAAGTCCACTTCCTGTTTACTCGCTACGTCTCTCTCTCTTTCAGTTCTTTGGACGTGCTGTCGGCTGCTGTTCACACTGTAGTTATTAACAGAGTGATGTTCTGTTTGCAGCCAGACGATCGATACGAGAGGAAAAGGGAACGATTGGAGTCAGAATCAGCAGCAGAAACAGAGCAGAGTGGACAGAACAGACGCGTGATGTGGTGTAGACAGGTCCACTACAGTCCTGCTGCAGTCCTGCTTGATTGGAGCTACACACACCAGAGATTATTACTGCTGTCATGGACCAGAAATGCTTCTTTTCTGGCTTTGTTTGGCCCTTCCTAGATCTACAGCCTCAGTACTAGATCTACAGCTTTAGTCCTGGATCTACAGCCTTAGTCCTGGATCTACAGCCTTAGTCCTGGACCTAAAGCCTCAGTCCTGGATCTACAGCCTTAGTCCTGGACCAAAAGCCTCAGTCCTGGATCTACAGCCTTAGTTCTGGATCTACAGCCTCAACATTGTCAGAGAGGCCTCCTCTCTGACAATGTTTAAATCCAGGTTTAAAAACAGTTCTGTTTAGCTGTGCATACATCTGAAGGATTTTATATTCTTATCTTTCTTTTTAATGCACTGTGATTATTTAAGATTTTAATGTCCTGGGTCTACAGCCTCAGTCCTGGATCTACAGTCTCAGTCCTGGATCTACAGCCTCAGTCCTGGATCTATAGCCTCAGTCCTGGATCTACAGTCTCAGTCCTGGATCTACAACCTTAGTCCTGGATCTACAGCCTGTCCGTCCATGTGATCCCTATCCCTAATATTGGCCACCTCCAGTTTTCTCTGATCTGTTGTTGGTGAATCTACAACTTTGTTAAGTCCTTCGAGACGTTGTGATTTAGGGCGATACACAAATACATTAGATTGAAGTGAAAATGTGAAATATAGTATATATAAGGCTGCAAAATGAAAGAGTCTGGTTCAGGGGCAAAGCAGCTTAAGACTTAAGAGTGGCCATCGTCAGCTTTCCAAACACAATTTTTACGGTAGATCTCAACAGGAGTGCGAGAGAGGGAAGTGGCCCACAAAGCAGTTCTGATCAAAGAAACGGGCTACTACTGACATGTATTTAAACTTTGACTTTGAATCTGAAAATTCCTCACTATTATGCAAATAAATTTAGTTTTAATGAGAATGATAAACAACAGAAGAACTTTTGTCAGATTCAAAGCTGAGGTATCAAACTGTCAAACCACAATGATTATCATCAACTCTGTCTCTAGTTCCTGGCTCTAAAACTGTTTGTCAAATACTGGCTCACAGGTCTCTTTGTTACAAGTATGCACGCGAAAATATGTTGTTGGAAAAACAACACATTTTATTTTTGAAACAAATAGAATTAGCTACCTCACTTTTAAATTCAGACAGTGAACCTTCCGGCTTCAACTAAGTACACAAGGTCAAAACACTTAAAGTTTCAGCAACGGCTTTTGTAAACATGAGGTCCAAAACATGAAACAAAACCTGAGTCCGCAACGCTGTGGGACTCTAACCCTTCCATGACATTTCAAGCACATTCTCGCACAGTTTCAGTTTTAATAAAAGAACAAGGAGACATCTGACATTCATCGATAAATCTGATTTGAAGACATCGGTTCAAATCCTCGGTGGATTTAAACGTCTCAGATGCTCTTTGATCCTATGGTCATGGGTTCGATCCCCCCACACCTCATTTACCTGCTCCCGCTGACTTCTGCTTTCGTTGTATCCCTGGGCAGGACACTCAACCCCACTATGCCTGAAGCCTCTGCTGAAAGGCTGTGTCTTTTTTGACAGAGCAGCCATCAGACCGAACACCTGCAGGAGGATCAGCAAGGGGCTGGTGCTTTGAGACTTGGATGGCAGCTTGGATTGTTTCCGCCCCGACACAGAAATTTACTTGTAAAGGGGGATAAAAATGAAATAATGAATGTTTCAAATCCATAAAAACTCACTCATGAACACTTCATAACTCATCAATGACTCTTGCCCTGAAGACCGTCCCTTTATGCTACTGTAACTTTAAAGGTACTCTGTGTAATTTTTACAGTTAGTCAAAATAAAAAAAATAACAAAATTAACCAATAACAAATGTGACCTTTTTAAGAATATCTACCTCCACCGTGTTTTTGAGTTATTGCCATAGAATTAGAATTTGACATAAACGTCCATGAGGCTGGAGGACTCTACATGTCAACAACAACATGCCATCTTGAAATACAGTCGTTGATAGCGGACAAAAAGGAGTTTGACCGCGAGTTGGGGACCACTGTCAAAGATGACATATTGTCCTGTGAAGCTACTGTAGTACAGAAGATTAGAATATATGATCTCAATGCTAGATGGGAGTAAAAACTTCACAGTGCATCTTGCACTGGTGTCATTTAAATTGGTCTAATTTTGCTGGTCTAAAGTGTTCTGGCTGAAGAGAGCTTGTTGCAACGCCATGAGCCAAGGTGCACCAGTGATGTATACTGGTTAAGTTCTGTGGAGGTCCGACCAACACAAGGTTTTGGGCTCAGAGCCGATCGCTTTATATTCCGTATATTCTGAGGAACCGTTACTCTGACGGTCCCCACTGTGCTGAATCATCTTTGTCAGAGCAAGGACTAGAATCAAATAGAAATACCTGTGTGTGTGTGTGTGTTTGCGTGGGTGTATGTGGTCGTGTGCGCGTATGTGTGTGTCTCTGTGTGCGTGTGTGTGTGTGTCTCCGTGTAAGGGTGTTCATGTGTGTGTGCAGCTGCTGTGCACAGGATTAGATGGGATGTGGTCACAGCCAGGGGGAAGCCATCAGACACATCCGCACCAGGGAACTTGTCATTTTTCAATTTCAAACAGATTGCCTTCACACATATACACACACACACACACACACACACACACACAATTTTTATTCATCGATAGTACTTGCGCTTTTACATACTATCTGAGTTGAGGAGAGGCTGTTGTGTGTGCTGCCATGGGAACAACCTCCCTCAGCATTGTTGACACATAATAATGAGCTAATGGCTAATGCCATTGAGCTAACTGAGGCAGCAACATGACAATTCGTGCACCCTTGCACTAACCCACAGGGGCGACATTACACCATTAGAATGCTAATGGTAAAATGTTTGTGGCAGAAGTTCCAAATATTAGAGTGAATAAAGCTACAACAAAGTATATAACTACAAGGAATAATAATGTACGTCAACCAAAGTATTGCCCTTGAATTAGTTATGGAAAATGTCTCCTCCAGTTAAACGATCTTCTTGATAACCACCTGCCATCACCAAGCTCCATCACATTCAACCACATTAATGGTCAGAATCTCAGATAAAGTGCAAATCCCAAAAGGATCAGACATGATGCAGACTGTGTTGTTGCTGGAGCTTCTCTGCCGGCCTGTCTGGGCCCTGTCCCCCCGAGCACTGTCCTCTGCAGAATATTGATGAGGGGTCAGTGCAGAGGTCTGGGTCAGCCAAAGTGATAATCGGACCCTCCTCAGGGACTGGGGCAGTGCGGCGGCTTCGACCAAAGAAGAGCACACAAATTCCTGCCGCCCTGGAGGCCACACTGTGGCACAGAGGTCTGTGACAGAGGTCTGTAGAACAGGTCCATTATGGAGGTGTGGGGTTGGATTGAATGGATAATGAGGCAAAGGTTTGATACACACTTTATTCATTTACTCTAAACACGGTAGTGTTTAGAGTAAATGAGTAAAGAGTAAAGTAACACACAATCACACACACACACCAGACTCATTCTCATGTGGGTGAATCATTTTCACTAAGGACACAACGACAGACCTGCAAGATGCTCTATAACTGTGACTTATTTTGAAAGTAAGACGTTTGGTTTGACTCTTTTAATGTGGCACGTTCCTGTTCTGCGGTGGTGAAAAACTCACACGAGTCTAAAACATGGGGCTGCAGTAAGAAAAGGCACACAGACAGAGTATAGTGGAGCAGACAGAAGCAGCATACGTCTTCTTTAATAGAGCGGCCTTCACGTCGGTTCTACTCACACACACATTCGCTCGGTATTCCCCTCACTCTTGGCAGGCGGGCAGACCACGGTCAAACGTCCAAGTGGGAATTCAGGCTTAACATTTCAGCCCACGCCACTTTTTTATCGCTTAAACTTCCGCTTCTCTGTCTGAGGTTTCAATCTGGATTAGAGCGACTGCCTCCCCTTATTGTAATAGCTCCATGTTTGTTCTTGTGTTTGAATCTTGTGTTGTGTGGTCAGAACATTTCACTAACCACCTATTCCCGTCAATTTTTCTCCACCAAACATCACACGGCAACATATTCACTTAAAAAAATCGAGGAATTCACTTTCAACAAAAAACATACAGAAAATTAAAATGATGAAACAAAAGCCCTGCTTCCACCACTACCAGCTGGAGTGACAGACCTATCAAGGGTCAAGCAAATTGAAGATTTCAATTATACATTTATTAGATGATTGGTCTCAATTACATCATCTTACCTACAAATAGTGGAGACTCAGACAATTTCTCTTTGAGACAGTTTTTACTCTGATCTCAATGCCATAGAACAGTGGTTCTCAAAGTGTGGTAAGCGTAGGGCTCCCTCTAGTGGTACGCCAAAGAATCACTGAAACATTTTATTTTTTATTCATTACTTTTTTTGTATTTAACTAGGAAAGTCCCATTGAGATCAAAAAAACTCTTTTTCAAGGGAGTCCTGAACAAAAATTAAATACAATTACAGATTATAAAACAGTTACATAAAGATTATACATACAATTTCAGAAAATTAGGGATTATAAAAAGTAAAATTTCAATGAGGATGTCTCAGTCTCTCAATCTGGATCTAAAAGCATTCAATGAAATAAATTCAGAACATTTCCAGTCTTTTTGCAACACGTTCCACGTAGAAGGAGCAGCGTATACAAAAGCTTTTTTTCCCCAGTTCTGTGCAAAAGGAACAGAGAGCAACAAAAGAGGATTTGATCCAAACCATTCAAACCAGTATCTCTTTGAGTCAATGGCAGTTGTAAGAGGGCAGCAGACCAAGCCTTACAAACTAAAGTGTAGTGTCCAAACCTTCTGTGGACAAAGATCCCACTCCAAAATATCATTCGCAGTGGTGAGTCAAGGCTTTGCAGTTCGTAATAAATAGAACATTTTAATTGAATCAATATTTAATTACAGTTTTTTGGTTTTTTCCTATATCTAAGTCTTACTGTTTAAACTGTGTAACATTTTACAATGGCTGACAATATTATACTTCTTTAGGAAAAAAACTTCTGCCTTGTTTTGATGAATACTTAGGCTTACTACGCTACTGTATAGTGTTGGTCATTTGTGGTGGTACTTGGAGAGGCAAGTATTTTCTGAGGTGGTACTTGGTGTAAAAAGTTTGAGATCCACTGCCATAGAATCTTCAAGAAGACGATGCTTTGATTCTCTGTAATTGCATAATCAGTAGGTTTGCAGTTTTGTGTTCAGGGATTCTCTGTTTAAGTTGTCTTTTAGTTTATTATATTTTATTATTTAACCACAAACACACAGCCGCATTCATAACTTGAATTAAAAATGAATACATCAGCCATTATTTTCTTTTTTTCATCTAACATGCACTAAATTCCGGGTGAAGACATTGAAGATCATAAACATCTAGCAGCCAAAGTGTAAAATTGCATCCTGCTTTTGTAATATCTATTTTGTAATATCTCACTTCAAATAGAGGAAATACTTCTGTTTTAAGAGGCATTTGGAGCAAGTTTCAATACAGCGCACAAGAACAGGAGGGTTCAGGGGACATGTTTGTCCCAGTCTGTCTCTCCTCCCTCTATCTATGTATATTTTCTATTTTAGCTTTTCACATTCAGGGGTTAATTGAGACGATTCTGTGCAATTCTTATTTAATTATGTGTTTTCATCCCAGCGCTTTATTCCCTTGCCAAATACACACACACAAACAGACACACACATGCACACAGACACACACACATGCGCACACACAGACTCTCACAGACAAATACCTTCACACAAACACAAATGCATACATACAGACATGCGCGCACACACACACGTATAATTCTTCTGCTTCCTTCATAATTACAGCAGACTCTGTTCAGTGAGTGTGAAGTCAGATCTGCATTCGGGCGTTGCGGGGACGAGCCGGATCCCTGCCACGGCGCTCACATCTGAAGATGAGGCTCAGTATTGGTCCAGGACTCAGCTCCGCCGCTCCATGACCGGAGCACTCACCAGATCAGACCGTGACAAACGTCTGCAGGAGAGCTCTCAGGGTGAGCGGCTCCAATGAAGGAAACACGATTAGAGAAGAAGAATGTGTTCTGTCAACAGTCTATGGTTCTGTCACAGCCAGCAGAAATGCAAGACGTCTGTTTGAAACGCTCATTTTTTTCTTTTCTTTTTTGTTTCTATCTAAATTATCTTTAAAAATACGTACTTTTTTTGACTGAATAGTTGAGTGCACAGCACAATTTCCCCATTAAACATAAATGGTAGATAACACTCAACTGTAAAAAGTGTTTTTATACACGTTCCAACACAGTGTTTTGAAGAAGTTTGCTTCGAGAAGAGTGTCACACGCTCAGAACGGTCGGTTTTCCCATCACTAGTGGTAGGGCAAACTGGAGCACCGCAGGGCTAGTGTTTTGCAGCGTATAATATTTGATGTTGAAAGTCAATACAAAATCTCAACCTTTTTCACCTGTGGTGAAAGTGAGGGAATACAGGCTGAGATCATGTCTGGCCTCTCTGCGTGCTTATCTTCTTAAAGGAAAACTCACTCAATCTAAAACATGAAATGCCAATATACGTATTCTCAAGATAATATTTTAGACATATCTGCAAAAACACATTCGTCCATATTCCTCCAGTTACATACAACTTTATTTATATGGCACTGACTTAGATCCGCTCCTGTGGACTCACCACCTGCAGGAGGATCCGTGAGGGGCTGGTGCTCTGTGAACTGGCTGCAGCTCTGACTGCCACCCCCCGACCCAGAAATGGATTAAGGGGAAGAAAATGGATGGATGGATGGATGAATCAGATCCAGATTTTCACAAAACGACTTGATAAAGAGCAGATTTTATGTTTTTCAAATGGGTTCTAATGGCACTTTTTGACAGAATGAACATCAGTCATGTAAATCGTCTCATGCCCACAGCTTTAGTCCCCTGTCCCATGGTCCCGGTCCCATGGTCCCTGTCGCATGGCCCTTGTCCCATGGCCCCTTCCCTACCCCTGCCTGTCTTCTGTGCCCTGTTTCCTGCACCACTTTCCACACATTCTCACGACTTCGCATTAATCTGCGCCCGTGCACTTGTCTCTGACTCGACCTTATTTCCGGCGATCGCAGGTAGAATCAATCTGTGTTGGAGATTATCAGAGCACCTGTCCGCTCCGAGGGTGTGCGTGGTGGGTGAGGAGTGGGTGAGGAGGGGCCGGTTTGAGAGCGATAACGATCGGTGGCCTCGGCGATCACAGAGGTGTGACTCCATCTCGCTGCTGCACTTACAGCACCTGACAAATGGAAGGACACGGACCCCTCACCGTGTCTCTATCAAGAGCCAGATGAGACACACACTCACTCACACACACACACACACGCACGCACGCACAGTCTCGACATTTGAATAAACAATTTTCTATTTAAAGAAGACATAACCTGCTTCTACCTGCACAAAGTGAGAATATATAGTCCCATTTCCACCAGCCTTACTCTACTCTACCTAGTTGTGCTTCCATCACTTTATAGTAGCCAGCACTGTATCTGAGCATCCATCTATCCATCCATTTTCTTCCCCTTGTCTATTTCTGGGTGGGGGAGTGGCAATCAGCTGCACCCAGTTCCCAGAGCACCAGCCCCTCACTGATCCTCCTGGAGGTGGTGAGTCCACAGGAGAATGGTTGCTCTGTCAGTGAGAGTATTGCCTTGAGCTTTCAGCGGGGGCTTCAGGCAAAGTGGGGTTAAGTGTCTTGCCCAAGAACACAACGACACCAGACATCTGTGGTTGCTCGGTGGCTTCCTGCAGCGCGCTTGCAAATCACTGCAGAGAACCAAGTAGGGCCCATTGAAACGCTCCTAACCGGGGGGAGTAGAGTAGAGTAGAGCTGGTGGAAATATGGCTTATGACACCTGCTGTGGCTCATTATTATAGACTGGATATAATACAAATCTTAGCTTTTATCGTACAACATGCAATGTTTTAAAAAAAGGAGTCTTCCTACATATTCCTGCCATATTGCTCTCTGTTCTTCCCTTTTACTCAAACAGAGGCAGAAACTTAGCCTGGCTCTCGCCAGACCCTTGTAGTTTCACCATGCACCACCAGAGGCGTTTCGCTTCACACACGAGGTTCTAGTATCGAGCGCATAGCAAACTCCTTCAGCAGATGAGAAAATAATCGACCAATCAGGATCGCCGGTATTACGTCGGGTTTGCACCGCCTTCTCAAGCATTTCTCACACGGCAGCTAAAGCAATCCAAAATGGCGGACATGAAGTCCATAATTTTTTGAAAAAGTTTAAATACGAACGAATTAAGACAAGGATGTCACTTTTAATGGAATATGAGGCAAGATGTTGATGGTTCCATGTTGTTCTATGTGTGTTTTAAGAGTCAAATGTTTGTGTAAAGTTTGGTTTAAGCACTGGTTTGAGTATTCCTGTATACAACACTGCGCAGCAGGGTTGCCAGGTTGGGTGGTTTCCCGCATAGTTTTTTCAAGAGACTTGTAGGTAAAGACAATAAACAGAATCATGATAGCCCAAGTTGATTATAGTACGTTTTTAAAAAAAAAATTTAATCTAAATGTCAATCACAATTTGACCGGTGTGAGTTTTTAGTTGACCAGTTTAGTCGGCCTTTTGTCAACAACAGCGCTGCCTTTTACCTCTAATTTGCTTTGAGAATATGCTTTTTGTGTGGGCTTCCTCCCCTGCATTCCCAAGTGTCAAACACACAAATGCTTTCTTCTTGAACAAGAAGACTGGCCTTGACCGAGACAACTCTAGCCACTTACTGTTGTGTATTATCCCATTATCTGCTGCTGAAGATTTTTAGTACAGCACACGCCAATACAAGGACACAAACATGTTTTCATTCATGTGTCAACATTTCTCAAATTGCGAAAATCTACATTTAATCATGGAATGTTTTCTATCAAATAGTTTTTATATGTGTTTTCATATTAGCCATTTGGCACCGAATTCAGTGAGTTTACAGAGTTAAGTGCAAGCAGCCTTTGAGTTTGTCCCTATAGTCTTATCTCGCTATAAAGGGAGTATGGGAACCAGACCAGAACTTAGACCAGTCCAGGACTTAGACTTCAGGTTCTGGGGTTTTACCATATATGGAGCAAAAATGACTTCTTCTTCGGCGGCCCTTCCTCTTCTTCTGCACATTTCCCTAAAACTGTTTTGAACGACATAGTTAGTAAGTCTGAGCCAGGGACAGAGAGAGGACTTCACAGAGTACCTGGTCACCCTATCATTAGTTTTCAGGCCTGGAGGGACAGTTTTTGGCTCAGCTCATAGGGATAGTTATGGCAATAGGAGCTCAGAGAGTGTTGTATTAGTATTTAAAGATAATTAGAAAGATAATTAAATAGTGTTGATAAAGATAATTAAATAGTGTTGATTTTAACTCTTGAATATCTTTGTCTTCTTTTCTGGTCTTCAAAGACTCTCGTGCCAGGAGAGGCAAGCTCCACACACCTGCTTCCGTTACAAGCGGCCTACAGTCGGAGTCACTGCATACATAAATACATCTCCAGATTCCAGAACACAGAATACGAGCAGGAGATGGATGAGGCAGCATGTTCAGCAGACCAGATAGTGGAGGGAGAAATTGCACTGCTGTCAGGTTGAATAAAACTGATTTTATTATTCCACCGTCCAAGGGAGCAGATTCCACTTTTTATTGTTACCATTTCTGGACAGAAGTCACGTCGCTCCCTTTGGACCAATGGCCCCTGTGTTTGTTACTGCATTTCCTGTGCTTGAACTGTTTGATTCTCTGATTTGTTGTTGGTGAATCCACAACTTTATATAGTCCTCTGAGGTGACTATTGTTGTGAGTTAGGGGGATGCACAAATACATTGAATTGAGTTACTTGACAAAAGTGTAAGAAATATATTGGGAGAGAGCCCTGGATCTACAGCCTCAGCCATGGATCTAAATATATTACATCCATGAACAAGGACAAAGTTGTTTTGATCCAACAGTGCATGTTTTCACTTTAATATTCTTCCATATGAGATATAAATACAGCTCTGTCGGAGCATGTCACAGGCACCACATGCTTTATTTCACCGCATAAGGTGAAATGTGAGTGACTTATGCACCAGAGAACACTGTGCAGAACAGGGACGTGCGGTGAGGTTTGTGATTGGGGAGGCACTGACTTTAAAAGTCAGATTTACAATCATTATTCAAATAAAATAGCATTTAATCACCAATGCAATGACATCCACAAACTTTATATACTGTAAAGATAAGAGAACCAGCTTCTTTTAATAATCTCACAACAAATCTAGCTGCTGACTCTGCTCCGCATCAAACAACATCTTTAAGAAGCGCAGGTGCGAGAGACGCGAGGAGAGAGAGACGCGAGGAGAGAGGAGCAGAGAGAGACAGAGAGGAGCAGAGAGACGGAGACGCGAGGAGCAGAGAGAGACGGAGACGCGAGGAGAGAGAGACGCGAGGAGAGAGGAGCAGAGAGAGACAGAGAGGAGCAGAGAGACGGAGACGCGAGGAGCAGAGAGAGACAGAGAGGAGCAGAGAGACGGAGACGCGAGGAGCAGAGAGAGACGGAGACGCGAGGAGAGAGAGACGCGAGAGAGAGAGACGCGAGGAACATAAACAATAATTTAAACAAGTTGCAGAACTCTTGAGCAGTGTTTGAATCAGTGTTTTTCGGAAAAGCACTACTTTGCCGGTATCTGTCAATGTTCAACATAAAACACAGATTAACAAACTCCTCCCCCGCAGCCGGACTAACCTCGTAAGTCCAGTGGTGGTCTCCCAGTCTATATTAATTCTTTCTTTGTTTGAAAGTCCAATTGAGAAAAAAAAGCTTTTTCCTTGTGTGTTCATCTACGATCAAAAGACTTAAACTAAATATAAATTGTACACACATACGTGCAATACACTACTAAACACTAAGAGGAGTTTAAAAAATGTTTTTAAAGCAGGATATTTGAAACAAACGGTGATATATCAACTGCACGAGCTGAGTGCACTCAGACACACACACACACACTGTGAGGGAGCGGTCTGGGGTGAGGCACGCAGGAGCGCTGCCTCACCTCGTCTCTTTGAATAGGAATAACGGGATTTCGGCGATTTTGACTTCAGAAATGATCAAAACTGATGGGAACCGTGCCGAATATACATTAAAAGCATAGGACAGTGGATATAAATTATATATTTAAACTAAAATAATTATTAGTTTCCAATAATGGCAGGTGAGGCTCTGCCTCCCCTGCCTCCCCTGACTGCACGTCCCTGGTGCAGAATATTATCATTCTCTGGTGCAAGTCATTCACAGATTCAGTTGTCAATGTCCAATTTTTACAGTTTAAAAAAGAAAATATCACATTTATTTGACATGATTTATTCGAGCGCACGTTGAGCAGCAAGTTCACTCCTGTTTTTTCAGAGTTTGTGAACGTTGGAGGTAAACGCTCGCTCTCTCTCTGCATCAGGTCGGCCCTCACTGTTATCATGTATCTGGCTCCAATATTTTCCTTCATTTTTTCATTTGCTGTAGACAAATCAGCAGCTTTGTGACACATTTTTCAGCCACTGTTTCAGGCTCTTTGTAGCAGCCTCTATATAGCAGGTATGTGCTCTATCACCATAAGATCCAGTACCTGTGGCCACTGTCTGTTCCATCTGTCAGCCTGGATGTTCATTATTATGTACATTATAACTGATGATGAGAGAGTCCAGCCCACGACCGCTGTAGAGAGCATGAGGGAGAGGAGAGGAGAGCGGCTCTGACCACAGCACTAAGAGCAGTCTTTAGTGTTTATTCTGCCCTGGGTCTCCAAGATGTCTGCCCATTCAGATTAATGACCTGTTCTCATTGGTTCATTCTCGCACCATCGAACGTTCCAAACATTAGCATAAATGTTGTGTTCTGGGTATTTCTGGTTCTCCTGGTCTTGTGCAGTGGTTTTACTTCCACAGGACACTCTCATATGCTCGAGCATGGGATGTTGCTCTCATGCTCGAGCACAGAGGGATAGGTGAGAGTTCTGACCAATCAGAGCGCCAGAGAGACCAGAGGGAGACCAAGGAGATAGGCCAGAGAGAGACAAGAACAAGAGAGAGGCCAAGAGACGTGTGAGCGTTCTGAACAATCAGAGCAGAGCAAGAGCAAGAGTTTGTGGCACTAAAGAGTGGATTTACAGAAAACGAATGGATTGCAGATCTCTGGTCTTTGATTTGAAATCTCAATATTGATCTGAAACAATAGAAGAGAGGGGTCACCACTACTGCACGTATGGTCTCGCCATACTGCTCTTTGCTCTGCCCCAATGTCA